CAGAGGGAGGTGCGCCACAACACAAGAAAGTCTACCACTGCAAGTCTCACATGCAAAGATCAAGGCACCCACCCTGTCTCGTGAAATATCTGGTCTATTTTCATGATCGGTTAATGATTCCAGTCTGCGGGTGTAATGCCCGAGTCCCTCGCGGACAATCTTGTGTGTCTGGGCAGCTGCAGATGTGCCCCTCTTCTTGTGCGTGAGCTTTCCTTCCATTATCTTTCCCCTGGTTTTCCCTTAGTTGAGTAAGGGAAGGTTAGCCATCTTTGTCTCGTCCGTATGGTTAGTGGCAGCGTATGAAGGTGAGCCTGCCCTGCGTAAGGAAGGCTGAAGTTTAGAAAATGAGCATCCAATCCATCGATAGTCTCTGCTAAGACGATCCTCCTTGGGTTGTGTCCATCTCTCAATTGGTTAATCACATGTACTAACAGGATCTCGTGAATCCCAATTGCGAGCAGCAGCTCAACTCATGTTCTCATTCACTGCCACGCGGCGGAGACAGTAGAGAGGCTCCAATCCCATCGCTGAAAGCACATCTCGATCAGGATGAGAAAGAGCATCCATCATGTCCCAAAGTTCGCGATCAAAGTCAAGAGGAGTCACAGCATAGAAAGGCGGGCATCTTACTTAGTTGCTCGACCACATTGGACTCAATCTTATTGATAATAATCCCTATCAATAATAGGCCGGAATGGTGGGTTTGGAACCCTACTTCAATGGAATGCGAATCCATTCGGCTGCTTCCTTTTCTTTCTCTTTCCCCGAACCGATGACTCGCTTGTTCAGTACTGCTAACTATTATAGGAGGATGCCGTCCCCTCGGGACTACTAGTAGCTTCGGTTGTTGAATCTCGTGCAAGTTAGGTTGTGGTTGTATTGGCTGCAAGCGGAACGTAGGCGCTTTAGGTGTGTGTTGACCATGCACTCTCGCGTCATGTAATGTCGTATGTATGATAGAGGTGGTGTGGTGATTGACCTCAATGTTAATGGTTATCCCCAAGGTTCAACGAATGAATGAAGCTATGATCGTACCCGGATAGAGATGATGGTCTTCCTCTGATGTCTCCAAGCCGGCCAACATAGAATAGATAGGCGAAGCAGCCAATAGGAGTCTGTTCTCGCCTATCGATAGATAGCAAGTTGCTTCCAAGCTCAAACCATTTGAAACTGAATTGCTACTTTCTTCTTGTTATTGATAGAGTGGTATTCTCCGCCCCTGTCAAATAAAGTAGAGGGAGAGAACTGGAAGAGAGAAGGAAAAAGAGCAAAGGATTTCAAAAAAGTCTAATGGGAGAAGAATGGCTGACACGTTGACTGCCTTAGAGACTATAAAATCAATATAACCCAAGCGGTCTAACTCCCGGGGCGGACCCCAACCGAAAGGCGCTAGACGGACTAACGGCAAGCGAGATAAAGAAAGCAGCTGGCCCTATGTGTAAAACCTTGCCGCGGGAGAGTCTTTCTCCAATGAGAATAAAGAAAGTTTTTGGGCAAGACAAGAAAGGAACTCGCCCTTTGACACCAACCAAGGGAGTTGAGCTGATTGCTGGCGATGACTTGGTGAAGGGAATCTATGAGAGAAGGTTCTCGAACCGGGTTCCGACCGAATAGAGCGCGGAGCCAACGAGTTCAGTCGAACAGCGTAAGGAGTCTAAGGGCGGGATCAAGCTTGAAAGGAATGGACGGGCGTAGGCTTCATAGTGAACGCAGACCCCCCTGCAACCTTCTAGATATGAGATCAATGACTTAAAAGACAGATGCCGAGAGAAACTGTTAGACTTCTTTTTTTTTATTGCGTTGCGAAAAGAGATCGAAGACGAAGATTTTCTGACGCAGTGCGGGCACTGGATGGAAAAGACAGAGAAGGGAAGAACCCACCGGAAGGGCATACCTCAAGGAGCACCAATCTCCCCCGGCAAACATCTATCTGCACGAAGCCGGATAGAAAGAAAGATGCAGGAAAGGAAAATGAAATATGAAATAAGAAATATGCTTTGGGAGTGTGAGATAGGCGGACGGGGAGTACGCAGCCGAACAAGCGCAGGGGCTTACAGCAGTGATAGCTGAACTAACCAGATGGGCCGCCCAAAACCTGGAGCTGACATTTCAATCGGAAATCAACGTCGGATCCCGGCTATCCGAAAAAGGCAGACTGAAGCGTAGGATCACAAAATGCAAGACAACAGGGGGCGAACCAAGCCCTTGCGCGAAGGAAGAAGCGAATCAATCAGAATGGAGACAGGGAGGAGAGGCGAAAGAGAGATTTTCGAGCCTGCAAGCAGCAAGTAACAACGGCTGAAAAGCCGTTGCGCGCTAGCTTGTAGTTTAGGGGTATATATAGTAGGGGTGCCCCTTTCGAAAACTTTATATATATAAGGTAAGCTTTTTGGAACCCTAGTTTTGGAGTTTTCCCCAACCTATACCTTACTAAGCTTACCTTTTTGCATCGCACTGCCGCATAAACAATGGATCCGCTGGGCTGGATGAGCAACCTTCTATCTGGCCTCTGTACCAGTAGTGGAGTGGCTTGCTACTTTCAATCAGAAAAGGAAGATTGAGCAAGGCAAGGGAGAAAGAAGTGGTCCCCTCTTCTCTGGTAACCCGCCGCCGGTCATATAGAGCGCTCCGCCCGCCACCGCATATGTAGAAAAAGAGGGAGCGGGGACGGAAGAACAATCATTTTACTTTGGCACATGAGGTGGCGGGTTTGGCTAGGTAACATAATGGAAATGTATCGGACTGCAAATCCTGGAATGACGGTTCGACCCCGTCCTTGGCCTCGGGGAGTGGCGAGCAGCACGGAACTTGAAATAATCAAATGGCATAACATAAGAGGGCTTTCCTTTGTTAGAAATCCACAGACAACATTCTGGAACTTCCAAACCAAAGAAATGCAACATGAGAAGGATCTTTTTACGTTACGCTTCAATAGAATGAATTCGGTAAGGGTAGAATACGCCCCATGGTCGATCGAAGGTCCTGTGCCACTTGAACTCAAAGGCTATACGCCCCTTCAATCCATCTTTGTCCAGCCAGCTCATAACAAAATGTTAGACCAGGCTGACACAACCGAATTGGTTGAGGAAAAGGAAAGCCCAGCGACCAAGCACTCCCGCCCCCAAAAGCGGAGACCGAACAACCGCCAGGTTGTCGAGGACACGTCTGAAGAGTAGGCCGGCGCCCTCTAAGTTGACCACCCTACCCACTAATGGACTTAGAGGGGGGCAGGCGAACGGGAACCGACCGAGAACCCGAACCACTTGACTGACTGACCCCTTCATAGTCCATTCATTAGGGTCGGGGATGGATGGAACCAATTAGAAGTGCAAATCGCGCAAGCGAAGCCGGGAAAGGGGCCGCAGCGCAACGACTAGGACTCGTGTCGGAGGAGTTTTGAGCGTGAGCTACCACTCATGCAGCGACAAGGACCCGCAACTCTCGAAGGGGCCACCAACCGCCCGAATCACTGTAGCAAACCCTCCCTTTACTCAATGGATAGCGCTTATCCTCTTTCAATAAAAAAAATGAGAAATGGGGGAGAAAGAAAAGAAAGAGAGAAAGAGGTCTTTATTGAAGAGGCTTTGCACCTGAAATAGGACTAATGAAGATCCGGGTCTGGGCTTTCAAAAAGATGAAGATGCAAAGGGTAAAGAGAAAGTCTTTTGAACAACCAACCTGACATAAGGATTCTAGCTCGCCCACTTAGAGCAGATGGAGATTCTCGGACGGGGAAAAGCGGCACTCGACATCTATTAAACAACACCAAGAACAAAGCCATACCATGCCCTCGGGAGAAAGTAGTGATGATTGCCATGAATGCTGCCCTCGAGGACGTGTACAAGAAGGTCTTTGCCGATTCCTATCAACATGGTGCGCCTCTCAGTAGAGGGGCGTGAAAAGGCCGTGGAGACTTTGACCGAATGAATAGGGATAGGGATCAATTGATAGACATTTTTTTTGAGGAAGAGAATCCAATCTAGGATGAATGCTTTTTTCGTTCGCTATGTGCTGACTGGATGCGTACTCGCGTGATCGATCGATGGACGGGGGAATTGCGTGAATGCCGAGACCGGCCTAACCTAAAGTAAAGGCTCTTCCCTTTCCCTCTCTTGATGGCGAATCTTGATTGACTCAGACTAGGAACCAATTCGGAGAAACAAGAAGCATGAGATGATATAGGCGGCGGAAAAATTTCCGATAGCGAATTACTTGACTCGATGGATGGATGGAGGGAGGGCCCTCCAACTCAAGCACGAAATCAATGTTGACTCAACAATCATCGAGAGAGGCACCACCAAGCGAGATCGAGACCAGCACCTTGTATAGGTTGGGTTCCAAACCTGCGCTTCTTTTCTTCAAATATCCCAATAAAGGTAGGGGCTTCCAAGCTTGACTAACAAGCGAGAAAGTTTACTTTGAGAAAGAAGGGGGGCGCGCTAGCTGCAATCAAAGGTTAGCGCTAACGAGCAAGAAGAGGCCCCTGACTATAGATAGGGCGCTAGCAACCTAATAAGTTAGGGCTTTTTCAGCTGGATCGGAATCGATTCTATGATTGAATAGCAGAAGTGCTACTTAGTAGTAGAAACTCGGAGAGACAGACAGAGAGGGGACTCTATCATACCTGCTCACTCCTAGGATGAGAAGTAGGTCCCTTGTTTTTGGCAGGAATAGTTCCAACCTTTGTTGCATCTCGGTAGAGTGAGTCTACTTAGCGAACTGGCAGGACGCGGAGATCGATTGATCAATATGAATCTCAAGAGTGGATGGTTGACCGCCGCCGCCTTGTCCTGGAGGCTCTCCGGCCGGGGAGGGGCTTGCTCTCGTAACCTTATCTCCCGGTGTATGTGAAAAAGAAAGAGTGACGAACCCATTTTTGTTCGGTCATAGGTTGGTCCAAAGAACGAGAGTCGGCTTACTTAAGTCCCTTGTTCCTCAGTAGCTCAGTGGTAGAGCGGTCGGCTGTTAACTGACTGGTCGTAGGTTCAAATCCTACTTGGGGAGATTTGTTAGTTATCGCTTTTCTGACCTAGCGACCCCTGTCCTTCTCCTTAGTTTCTAAACTAGCAGAATCGTGGGACATCCAAAGTGGGAAGTTGATTGTTGGTTTTTTTTATTCTCTCGTATAGGTGAACTTGGTTCGTTCAATTCTTAGGGAGAAGAAGGATCCACTGGGAATGAATGGGAAGACTGGAGTAGTATCTTCATTAGCCGGAAGGAATTTCTTTCTACTAGCGTCATTCGAAGAAGGAACAAGAAAAGGGTTACTGTTTAGGTAGGATAGATAGATGTAGTCCAATGGCTAAAGCTCTGCCAGCTTCTTGTAGACTGAACTCTCTTCTTTTTAGGCTTCGAGTTGTTTTTTTTTAGGTGGGATGGTCGAATTTTTCTTCGCCACTAGTGGCAACGAAGTTCTTGGTAATTAACAAGGGGGGAAGGAAAGGAAGATCTCCACTCATTTCATTCATTCAGTGCCTGCGGTGAGGCGCGACCCACAACAAACGAAGGGGGAAAGCTTGCTTGCTGTAGCCCTATTTTAGTAGACTAGGCTTGGTAAGCGTAAGCTATTGTTGTAGGCTCGAGAAGGGTAGGCTCGCAGCTTCGCTCAGCAGAAGAGCCTTGACTTGAGATTCTATTAGTCAAGCGCTAGCGCCCAACAACCTATGGGCTTTGAAGGGATAGGGGAAGGGAAGAAAACAAAGATGGTCACTCCTTTTAGGAACATGGCTCGTTCATTCACTTGCTCATGAACTCGCAGCTTAGCCAGAAGCGACGAAGGGGGGGCTGGGGAAGGCCGACGACTACATGAGGGGGAAGCTGTCTACGAAGCTTTGCCCCTTGCTTTACAGAGATTCTTTTATTATAAACTTACTAAATGACTAGATTCTCTCGGAACGCTAGCTAAGCTAATAAATAGTATTAGTTCCCTTCAATCAAATCAAGTTTTTTTTGATTGATTCAGGGCGGCGCCCTCCTTCTTAGAACCCATTGAGGGGGGCCTCGGCCCGGGAAGGGGAGAGTGGCCGAGTGGTCAAAAGCGACAGACTGTAAATCTGTTGAAGTTTTTCTACGTAGGTTCGAATCCTGCCTCTCCCACTTGTTTGTTGTAGACTTCAGAGAAGAGAAAGGAGGCATTCGTCAGCGTAGGAAGGCCAACCGAGCAAAGCTCTTTCTTTTTTTTTGGCCATTCCATGAAGTGAAATTGTATCGTATGTTAGTTAGAAAGGTTGGCGAACTACTACGATCTATAGACATATCCAATCCCAACGAGAATAGAAGCGAGTCGCTTCCGGCTTGGCTTGTAGTCATAGTCTTTTAGCTTATGTAGTGGTCGGCCTTCCTACACGCACGCGCCCGCCAGAATGCCTCCTTGGTTCTGGACGAAGCCAAGCTGATACATACGATAGGCGGAGGAAAAACCGCCCATTTCATAGCGCCTGGGAAAGGCAAGTTTGATCGAGGATTGGAGAGGAGAGGTGGAAGAAAAGGCTCGGGATGGATTTAGGAGTCTTTGTGCGAGCCGTATGCGGTGAGAGTCGCACGTACGGTAACGAGGGGGGTTCGCGTCTATACGTGTAGTGTGGTGGTTGGGCCTACCCACCCTATTTGTTCCATGATCTATGGGTCTACTGGAGCTACCCACTTCGATCAATTAGCCAAGATTTTGACCGGATACGAAATCACTGGTGCTCGATCTAGTGGTATTTTTATGGGGATTCTATTTATCGCTGTAGGATTCCTATTCAAGATCACTGCAGTTCCTTTTCGGGCGGCTGTAGGACGGACGGCCGCCTATAGGTGGTAGGGTAGGGTGGGTGGTACCGCTCAGATTGCGGCCAATCTTCCTAACCGCGCGCGGGCCGGGCTTAGAGCGCGTGAAACTCATCACTACCTCGTAAGGGCGTTGAGACCATAGCATGTTACACGAAAGCGCCGCTTTCTCTGTAGTGTTGTCACACAGCTGCCCGCCTAGAAGAGCCACTCGCTCTGTAGTGTTGTCACACAAGATAAGCACGACGCCCGCCTGCTGGCCGGGCGAATCGAAGTTCTCTTCCGGTCAACTGTCCACCCAGTCAAGTGCAAAAAACACAGTAGAATCACGCAACGCACGCTGCTGGTGTGCTTCCTGCCCGCGAGGAAAGAAGAGCGACAAGGTTCAGTTCAGATTTGACTGTTTGCAGCATGGGAGCGGATTACCCAAAAAATCCCTGGGAACAATGAAAAAAAAGATATCTCGGTAACGAAAACTATAGGGGGCTGTATTGGCGAGATCCAACGGTGAACAGCTGCCAAAAAGAAAAACCGCCTGGAAGTCCGAGGACCTTTAGTACCGTACCCTACCCCCGAACCAGCAGCCTTCGCGCCAAGCAAGACCGCCCTTGTCCCTTTCCTTTCTCCATTCCGCCTCCTTCTTTGCTTTGTTTCAATAGAGTCTAAGGCAAAGCAAAATGCCTACTTTACGATTGGATTCAGTCAGCGTCACGACATAATCAAAGGAGTGACGCTTTGGTTACCGGCGAACGCTTCGAAAGGCGACCCTCTCGAGTTTCCGGCTCTTTCCTAGATTGAAGTAGCCTTTCGTCGCCCTACCAAACGAAAGAAGTCACTATCAAAAAGCTCGCCCTACTGAAGTACAAAAGGTGCGCTCCGCCCGGTGACTAAGAAAGAAATGGGTTTGCGCTTGAATGGAAGTGATGAGGTCGCAAAGAGGGAAGTAGGGCTCCTATTGACTCAAGGTTGGTTCTTCGGTTTCCTTTAGAAGAAAGTAGCTATGAAGCCCCTACTACAACCTTTGTCAGATTCAAAAGGCGAACAGCCCCCCCCAAAAAAAAAAAAAAAAAGATATCTCGTTCATCTATCTCTTGTCTATCTCTCATGGATTCTATCTATGAAAAAGTAAAAAGACTTCGTTTTTGGGTTCCCCGAAAGCCCCGAATGGATTAGATCCTTTCTGCCAACGAAATGAACGCGGAGCCCGTTCCGAATGCTTCTCCGATCCGGAAGTTATCGCGAAGAGAATAAGATGCTGCTCCCACTCCCTCTGTCTTTTCTCGCTTTGCTAATCTTCCCCTCTAAGACGGGCCGGGAGGCGGCGGGCGCGGGAGGAAGAAACCCAAGAGAAGAGCGTCTTGTCTTTTCTTAGGTCCTTTTTTTGTCATCCCTGCTGCTTTCCAGATTTTGTATTGGACGCATGGCGTAGCTAGGACCTTCAAATCATGTTTGAGCCTCTGTTCAAACCAAACAAACTCACCCCTGAATAAGGCTGGAAAGAATGCCCGCCAAGTTCAGAGTTGGGAATGCTTTCCCCAACCAAACAAGGAAAGGCTCGACGAAGGGAGGGGGATGCGGCGGGGGAAGGAAAACGCTTTCGGAGATCGAGATTGGATTTTTTTTTCATTGAAAACGAAGAAGGCTGAGGATGGGCTACGGTGCGTCTTATCGGAAGGGAACACGCTTTTTCGACCGCGGTCGTATGATTGCCGGGCCCTCTCCTCGTTCCGCCCGCTGGCCTATTGGGATAGCCGCCTTCGGGCTTTGCCTGCCCTTTCTTTTCTAATCTAATAAAGAATTCCGGCTCGGCCCGGGAAAGCGCTGGCAACAAAAGAAAGGAAGGGGTCCATGTAGCTGCTGCGCCCGCCCCCTTCTTAGTCAATGGGGCAGCAGGTTCGGCATCTACTAGAAAAGAGAGAATCCACTTCAGATAACCACGCCTCTGCTAGGCAGCGTGTGGAATGGCCGAGAGCGGACCTTTTTTTTTGGATATATAATCCAAGTCGAGAGTGGAGTTACGGGAACAGCCGTCTGATGGAAAACGACTTTCACGTTCGGTTCAGAGAGCACTTTTTTCGTTGAGAATTCCTCGTTCCCTTTCGTGTGAATTCCCCTGCGGCGAATTCAAAACTTGTGGGGCCCTATCTATTCCATCTCTCGAGCCCCGAAGAAAACCCCCTCCCCTTCGGACTCTATATCTCTTTTGACTCTATATATGTGGGCACCTGATATCTATGAGGGTTCACCCACCCCGGTTACAGCATTCCTTTCTATTGCGCCTAAAATATCTATTTCTGCTAATATTTCACGTGTTTCTATTTATGGTTCCTATGGAGCTACATTGCAACAAATCTTCTTTTTCTGCAGCATTGCTTCTATGATCTTAGGAGCACTGGCCGCCATGGCCCAAACGAAAGTCAAAAGACCTCTAGCTCATAGTTCAATTGGACATGTAGGTTATATTCGTACTGGTTTATCATGTGGAACCATAGAAGGAATTCAATCACTACTAATTGGTCTCTTTATTTATGCATTAATGACGATAGATGCATTCGCCATAGTTTCAGCATTACGGCAAACCCGTGTCAAATATATAGCGGATTTGGGCGCTCTAGCCAAAACGAATCCTATTTCGGCTATTACCTTCTCCATTACTATGTTCTCATACGCAGGGATACCCCCGTTAGCCGGCTTTTGTAGCAAATTCTATTTGTTCTTCGCCGCTTTGGGTTGTGGGGCTGACTTCCTAGCCCCAGTGGGAGTAGTGACTAGCGTTATAGGTTGTTGGGCGGCCGGAAGGTTGCCACGAGTAAGTAAGTTTGGGGGACCGAAGGCAGTTCTCCGTGCACCGGACACGTAGCTTACCGAATCAGTTGCGACACGGATGGGAATGCATGCTACGAAAGAGAGGGTCGAGTCTGATACATCAACCGTCTACTCAATATCCTTAGACGAGTCCACAATCACTACACGAGATGAACCTTGGTTTGGTGAATTGAAGTTGGCCTTAGGTGTAATAGGACTCCCAGTTACTGCGCTCGATCGTATACTGAGGTGCTCCCCGCCGGTTGTTGGAACGACGCGAGCCGGGCCGGGCCTCGATTCAGAAAGATGAAGGGCCAAAAAGTATAGAAATAGGGGTTAAAAATTCCCCATCTCATTGGGGGCGGAAAACGAATCGACATCTCGATGTGATACAGCCTTTTCTATTTTAGTTGGGAAAGAACGG